TGTAGCCATATATGCTCTTGTTTAGAAATAAAGTTTCAATCACAATTGTAGAGTAAATCATGAATTTCTTTGTGGACATCAAACTCATAGTGGACATAGTTTTGCATAGTGGAATTTGTTATTTTGTCCTAATAGATTTTTCTTGTAGGGATTCTCATCAGAATGTATCTGTCTTCAGTAAAGCTGTTTATTGTGAGATGCTGTTCTTAGTAGAGATATAGCATTACAGACTAAGTTTATACTCTCATCATATCTTTTACCACACAGATATGCATTTGTGCTGTATTTTAAAAAGTGACACTGGAGTGCCTGGGTGGCTCAGTCAGCTAAGCGTCTAGCTCTTGATTTTGACTCAGGTCATGATCTCACAGTTTGTGGGATCAAGCCCTACATCAGGCTCCGCTCATAGTACAGAACCTGCTTGGGATTTTCTCTCCCCCTCTCTCTCTGCCCCTTCCTCAGTTGCTCTCTAAATAATAAACTTTTAAAAAAAGTGATAGCAACTGAATATGCAGTGAATTCCACCATTAGATTTGGGGGGAGGATGTCTGTAAGTAAGAAAAAAAAGAACAAAAATACACCAGTTTCTCTCCTTTTTAACCCACCAAATGGTGTCTCTGGAATAACCCTGTCGTTAAAGAAATTAAATAAGTTGATATAACTTCTTACTACACACATCCTTTTTCCTACCCATCCTGATGACAGTTTTATCTTCTGTATCATGTTGGTGTTTTTCCATAGAGCATGATGAGTTACGTTTCAGTGCCTTTATTTCTTGAATTCTGTTCACATCATTTTTTCCCCTAAAGGTAAGGAGAACTAGGTATTTTTAGCAGACATTTTGAACAAGTACGGATGCTGCTGCGTGAATGTACAGGCCACTCTGAATTAGGGAAGACCAACATGGCACTTTGACCTGTGAGTGGTTAAATGCACAGTTAGGGACATTTATCTAAATGGACATTTATGTAAAGCTAATGCTTTTGCTTGATTACTCTTCTGTCTCTTTCAGCAGGTTGTCTCTTTTCTGCAAAAGGTTATAAACATCAGGGAAAGTATACTGAAGAATAGAATTGATTAATGTGACATATTTGAGTTTCTTCCTACCACTCTCTCAACAGCATGTCATAGAAAGACAGCTCCAAACATAGTGAATTAAATTTAAATTACACGGCGTTGACTAGAAGATTGTTTAGCTAATTCAGCCTCCAAAATGAAACTTGATTTTTTTCCCTATATTGGAGCCATTTCCTGATTTTTCATAGAGTGACAATTTCTGCCAAGTCATCTATTGATTTGAGATCTTTTGTTCAGAAGACTATTGCTAGTTTTCCATTTTTGAGAGAAAAAAACATGAAAAACAAGGACGTATATTCATTATACCAGGAAAAGAACAATAAAAATTAAAACACAGTTTTACAATAACGTCACGTCTGTATGGTGATTTTTTTCCTACCATGAGAGGGCTGTAAGAGATACTATTTATTTTATGACATTTTTTGTTATTTTAGGTACTATGTTTTGTGAAAGATAACACTGAGAACATTCTCACACTTTCTGTTTATTGTGGAATTATTCCAGAAGAATGTAGGAAATAGGTCAACTTTTTAAAGAAAATTTAACTTGGGTGGCCTAAATAATATAGTCTGCATGCAACACTGTCCACTGAGTCACACATTTTAGCCCATGAATTTATTTTGAGAAGCAGCCTTCGTTATTTATATTTGATGTTTGACTTCTGATTCAGAATGTAAAACTAGGCAGTGAAAGATGGAAGCTTAGTTCAACAAAGTATCAATATAGCTACTGTATTTTGATATAACTACTTACATGAGAGGTGAAAAGTTGAAAATAATTCACAAAAACAACTTCTGGCTTAATGTCTTAAATTATATAAATGCAGTGCCAGAAAAGATTAAATCGGTGATACATTTATTGAAATAATAACAATAATGTTGATAGTATCACAACTTTTATAAGCATTGGCAAAGTGGTCCTATTGTTGTGACTAATCCTTACAACAATAGGTACTATTGTGCTCTCCATTTTATTCACATGTGAAAAATTACTTCTTTTTTTTTTCTAGGAGAGAGAGAGAGACAGCGTGAGCAGGGGAGGGTTAGAGAGAGAGGGAGTCATAGACTCTGAAACAGGTTCCAGGCTCTGAGCTGGCAGTCAGCACAGAGCCCGACGAGGGGCTCGAACCCACGAACCGCGAGATCATGACCTAAGCGAAAGTTGGACGCTTAACCAACTAAGCCACCCAGGCGCCCCTTCACATGTGAAAAATTACTTCTAAAGCAAGGTTCTCCACCTCCGCACCACTGACCTTGTGGCTCATAAAATCCTTTGCTGTGGAAGAACTGTCATGTGCATTTTAGGATGTTAAGCAGCTTCCCTGGTCTTTGCTCATCAGATTCCAGTAGGAGCAGACTGCCCCACCCACCCCCTGCCCAGTTGTGACAACTGAAAATATCTCTAGACATGGCCAAATGCCCACCCTCCCACCCCAGCTGAAGGAGAGAGAGGAGGCAAGATCACTGTTGGGGTGCAAAGCACTGGGTTAGAGAATCTATTCTCATTGCCAAGTAGTATTCCATTGTATATATAAAAGACATCTTTTTATCCATTCATCAGTTGATGAACATTTAGGCTCTTTGCATAATTTGGCTATTGTTGAGAGCATTGCTATAAACATTGGGGTGCAATGGAGTACTGCTTGGCAATGAGAAAGAATGAAATCATGCCATTTGCAGCAACATGGATGGAACTGGAAGGTATTATGCTGAGTGAAATAAGTCAGTCAGAGAATGACAGATATCATGTTTTCACTCATACATGGATCTTGAGAAACTTAACAGAAGACCATGGGGGAGGGAAAGGGGAAAAAATAGTTACAAAAATAGTTACAAAAAATAGAGAGAGAGGGAGGGAGGGAGGCAAACCACAAGAGACTGTTAAATACCGAGAACAAACTGAGGGTGGAAGGAGGGGTGAGGGCAAAGGGAAAATGGGTGATGGGCATGGAGGAGGGCACTTGTTGGGATGAGCCCTGGGTGTGGCATATAAGACAATCTGACAATGAATTATATTTAAAAAAAGAATCTATTCTCATCCTGGTCTTCCCCCTGTCAAGAAGAGAACAACAACCCTATACTGATTTTATCAATAGAGTTAAAATTCCTCAAGGAAAATGAGAAATTCTCTTGTAACCTTGAAAGTAGCTTAAATGAGTATCTACTGTGGTTGAGAAAAAAAGTAGCCTTCCACTTGAAGTTGGCTTTAAAAGAAAAAAACAAGGCAGATAATCTGCTCTGGGGTGAACTGGAACAATTGACCTGCATGGCCTCATAATCCAATAAGTTGCTATTATCAAGTCAGTTTGGATGTTATCCTGCAAAATGTGCTCATGCCACGAGGAGGCTGGGTTCTGCCTTTTAAAGCTCACTTTAATGAAAGATACCTGCGTGACCATCACAGCAATTGCTGCTGGTTATCATTGACATGAACAGTTCCAGTTTCAGGGACACTGGTATTTTGAACTCCCTCTTTTAAAATAGCAGCAGCAAAATAAATGCATCCAGTCTCCCTTAATTCCAGTCTCAGGGGGATTAAGAACAAAATAACATGAAACCATCTCAAAATGCTATTTAAATACTCGTGTTTATTTAAAGGTACCTCATGAAGTATTAAGATCTGAACAAATTCTTTATCTTTCAGTAGAGCCCCTGTACTCGGAAGAATTTTAGGCTGAGTTCTTGTCAAAAAAGTGTATCATCCTTTATCTTCATTTTTCAAAATGGCAGAGTTTTCCAGACATTTATTTATTTATAGTTTAATCTCTGACTATGTTAAGTGCTCCCTTAATCATAATAAGTCATACCATAGTTCTTTTTTTTCTTCAACGTAGGATCTCTGTATATTATTGTAATTCCATTTTTAAATAAGGATTTCATCAGGGTTGGTGTTCTGGGTATTGTCTAAACAATTATAATCCCCTTAATCCTTAACCAATGTAATGAAATATTTTCTATCATATACATTGAGTCCTTTACTTAACCATTAGCCAAATCAGATGCAAACCTTCACAGTTTCCATGCAATATCTATTCTGAGTTTACTGCTGCTTGTAAGTGGCATTAAAGAACAACCTTTGGTGCTTGTAAATGATGATGTGATGAACTGCTAGGATTTACATACTCTCCTTTTTATTACAGTGATGGTTATCTTTTCACTGTAAGTGCAATGAAGCAACTAGAATGTCACAGAGAAAACTATCACCTCTATCCTCTTGCTGTAAAAATCATCCCTCTGTATGCTTCTCATTTATTATGAAACCTTAATGATGAAAAGGACAATGGTGAAATGATATCTGCTACCCTAATATTGAAAAACTAAGAATCAGGTGTGAAATCTCCCCATCCCCAGTCCCTTAAATGGATGATATTTGCTTCCCTTCAATGCATCAATGAGATGTATTCTCTACTTAATCTGTGTTTCCTGATAATGACAAGCTATAGCTCAAAGATTCATCAAATTCTACCTGGTCGTGAATATAAAAGGTTATAGCTGTTCTGCTTTTAGGAAGCCAAGCACAAGTACTGCATAAAGCCTACTGATGCATACTTTGTAGCACTCCAGGGTTGTAATAAATTTCGAGTCATCTGCTTCTGCCAGGTTGTTTGAATCATCTGTATGCTACTGGGTACAGCTATTCTGTGCAGTTGAATGGATGGGTATCTACAGGTGGGCTGTCACCATTTCCGTGCCCTTATGTAAAATAAGCTGTAATCAAGTTTTTACAAATATGTGGATTCTTCCATGAGAGATCTAAAATAGGTTGAAAAAATGTAGGCTCTGTGTCCTCGGGAAGAGAAATAACGAATTGGGTTTTGCAACCTATCAGGAAAACACAAATGTGTTTCAGTTGTCAGCGAGACAAAGATTAGAGTATCTCTTTGATCCCTTGAAATTAATCTACTCAATGTGATTTTTTCACAGACCACAGATGACATCCTTGTGGCCTCAGCAGAATGTCCCAGCGACGATGAGGACATTGACCCCTGTGAGCCGAGCTCAGGTGGGTTAGGTTAGTCGACTTTTTTTCTTACTTTTTTTGCTTTACTATAAATCTTTGTTGCATGCTATAGTCCTTAGAAGAGGCTTGCATTTATTTCTAGAAGTCCACCCCATTAAACAATGCCTCATTGTGAGATAAGGGGTTTTGCTTTTTGCATGGACAAATTTCCCCACATTTATTAGAAAACAAATTTTAAAAACAAACCCCACCAAGATTATGTATTTCAGAAGAAGCAATGGGGGACAGCACACAAGGCTGATACCTTACCGTTCACATTACATTAACTCACAGTGTAATTTTTGTGTATAACGGTATAATAGGCTTTCCCTTGGGTCACCTGTAGTAAAATTGTAAAGCTTAAAAATTGCACTGCATTATGGAGAATTATTTGACCTTTCTACTGACAAAAAGTCCCCACTACTCACTCTGCCAGCAAATTATCTTAAGTGATAAACTTCTGAATTTCAGAAGTAAGAGTATTATGGCAGTAGTAAAACAAACAGCAGGTAGAATCCTTGATACATTGAATAGAGAAATATTTGAGTCTTGCCATGTCTCCCTAAAATTTAAGTTGATGCATTTTAGCTCTAGCTGATGCATAATTTCTCCTCCTTCTTTGTGATAATGGCATGACTGCCTAACACACAAATACTATTTCCAAAGCAGTTCTGTACCTGGAAGTGGTGGCCATGAACTCTGAAAATGAATGAATCATAGGGTGGGTTTGCTTCCAGATATTCATAATACCAAATATCAGGGTCATTTCCATGAGTTTCCTCTGTAAAGGAGTGTTTCTTTAAATTCAATAATTTTCTTCTTTAGGTGAACAAAGGGAGTAAGATAAATATAGACTAACCACTCAGTTAACTCATGACCTCTGTAGCTGTCATGCGGAATCGCAGAAGAACTTCCTGTCACCATAAAATTACGAATTTATATTCTTCTGAGGAATATCGCTTTAAAATAAATCTATTCATTTTGATATATGGATTTAAAAAAGGGTTCAGGATGCATATCTTGCATCTTCTTTTGAATATCACAACCCACTGACTGTAGCCACACACTCTAAGCACTTGGAGCTGCTACTGGGGCCCAGAAGGGAGCTTCTCACCTTTCAGCTGGAGAAGGTCAGAAGATGCAGACGTGTTGTGTTCTTGTCCCCTTTCCTCTGGCCTTTATCAATCAAAAAATGTTGGCCTCTAGAATGTACTTAGAACTCTGATGATCATCCATTTCATTCCTCTGGTTTTTTGGTCTCCACAGTAATTCCCTTTTGGCTGTCTGGACAGATATGGTCGCTTCATGATAGGATCCTAGGCTCCTTTGCCAAGTTCCTTTTTCACTGGTATTCTCATTCTTTCTGTGTTTGTGAAAAAATAATAATAATAAGTTGTTTCTTGTCCATTACATAAGCCCCATTTCTTTGCCTTCCCCTTCCCTAAATTCTTCTTTATTTCTCTTACTTTCACATGACCAATCATGACCTTCTGTTTTATATCTGGTTTTCGCTAAGATCCTCCAGCCTGGATTGTTCATAAAACAAAGCCTGGTGTTGGATTGTACATTGAGTGTGTGCGTGTGTGTGTGTGTGTGTGTGTGTGTGTGTGTGTGTTTATATTTGTATTTGATTTTGCTTTCCTAATTAGCATTTTCTAGAGAGAAATTGATTTTTGCAGTATATTTCACTATATTAGCATAGTGCTGAAAACAGTATAGATTATTACTAATTACAGTACTTGCTGTACTTGGTTTTCCTCTGGTCTGAATCTTTCTTTCGCTAACTGAGTATAGGCCATCATCCTCTGTGTATATATAGCATCCTCACCCTGCATACCTAGTAAATTCAGTAGGAGAACTCTAATTACACTTAAAATTGTTGCTTTTTTTTTTTTTTTTTTTAATCTTGAGCACAGCTAAGTGATCCATTTCTTCTCACCATTGCTTATAGTCTTACTAGCCATTCTTTATAGACTAGTTTACCGCCTTCCCCTTTCTCTGGGGACACTGGCTCTAACAACAGGGCGGTGGGTGGCAGGGAGGAGAAGGGGGGAGGGAAAGAGAGAGATTACCCTTTTGTCATCCTCTCTCCTATTTATTCACTTGATTTGTGGCTGTTTTGTCAAATACTATAGCTTGATGGAAAGTGAGGAACAGTTTGTCAATAGCCATACTCTAGACAATAATCGTTCTGTCCCATTTCCTTCACCACACTTACCACTGTACGAATCTTGTTTGCTTACTTGTTACTTGTTCATTACTGTACAGCTTGCATGCCCCACAAGAAAGTAAGCTCCATGAAGCAGGAACCCTGTTTGTCTCCCTGCATGGATTTGTTGTGCAAATTTTAATTTTGTTTCGCTGCATCAGTGTGTTGTCCAATATACAAGGCACAGCAGCTACCGAGTGTATGTAATGACAGCTCCTTCGGTACTGTTGCACCAAGCCTGCTGGAACCTTCCATCTTCTCCCTCCGTGTTTCTTTCTAAACTCCATAGTTTTCAATTCATCAGTTCTCTTAAGGCTTATACTTCAAATTCTGTCACTCCAATGTCATCTTTCTTTGTAGGCTTTCCTTATGATCTTACCTCTCCTTGATAGTGTATTTCATGAATGGTTTCTCTTTCTATATTACATTTTGTAAGTGAGAGCTCTTTCTGTCATTGGCTTTTTCTGTCCCATTCCTTATGATTTTTTTCACACCCATCTTTAATAATTCATGCTGTGTTGCTCTTTTGGCAGACTTGGCTCTGTGTGACAGCTTCTTAGAAGTCCAGAGTGTATATGATTTTTTTTCTATTTTCCAACTGTTTTTTTTTTTTACTAGCAGTGGTTTTTCAAAATCATATTCTAATCTGAATATTGTTTCATTATAGGATGCTCCTCCTGCACATCTTTGTTTCTCAATGTAATGATGTGCTGGTTTTCTTAAATATGTTTTTCTTGTTTGCTTTTCATCTTGAATACCAACATAAAATAACGTGGATGAAAATTGTAGATGCTGATGTTATTAGACTTTAGATACTGTTAGATATAATGACAGAAATCATTTCACATATCAGCAGGTCATATTTTGGGAAACTTATTTTTTTTAATGTTTTTTATTTATTTTTGAGAGAGAAAGAGAGATAGTATGAGCAGGGGAAGTTCAGAGAGAGAGAGGGAGACACAGAATCTGAAGCAGGATCCAGGCTCTGAGCTAGCCGTCAGCATAGAGCCCGACGGGGGGCTTGAACCCACGAACCGTGAGTTCATGACCTGAGCTAAAGTCGGATGCTTAACCGACTGAGCCACCCAGGCGCCCCAGGAAACTGATTTTTAAGAAAAGTAACATACTGAGCTAAATATTCAGAAATGGATGTATCTGCTATGTACATTTCCTAATCCTGAAACAAGTGAAAGAAGATATTTTTTGTAAAAAGATGCATAATTACTTTTCAGATATTCTGGCCAAATCTTTGTATTTCACACCAGTGTCTTTCAGACTCCCTGAATATTTACATGTGAAGGTTCTCTAATCACCCAAACCCACCCTCTCTTCAAAAAATGGCTTCTTCTGTGAAAATGGGTTATGATCATTTACGTGCCTTCCTAAGGCTATTAATAAAAGAGGGAAATTCTGGCATTTTCAACACAAGTAAATTATGCCTTTTATCAAGTGTTTGATAAATTTGACTTAGTATGTGGTTCTACTCAAAACTCTTAAGAGGGAAGTTGTATATTTGGTGGATTATCAATTTCACCATTGATCAAGTAGTATTGAGTCCTCCTTTGCCCACCCACTGTTCTGTTCAGCTCCAGGAACAAAAATAAAGTTTATACCTTTAGTCTCATCCTACAAAAGGGCCTCTTTCATTCTCTCCCGGATGTTGTCAGTTATTCTTGATGATTGCTGGACTCTTCATCTTTAACATTAAGATATTGCCTATTTTTCCTGTTGTTGCAAGGATTAAAACAAATATATTTAAGGCACCGGCTGCGATGCCTGGCATGAAATAGAGCATAAGTGGTGGCTTTTCATTTTCCCAATTTAGTTACATAAAAAAAGAATATTCAAGCTATTTTTTCCCTATTACATAATGCTGTTACTTTTCCTGGCTGCAAATTGGTGGGCAACTGATGAAACCACTCAGGCCTCCTGGTGGGAACTGTACATGTTGAATCTGGATCAGCAGCAACCCCCTAGGTGAGAACACATGGAACTCAGTGATGCTTGATTCCAGCAACAGTGTCCTGCATGGTTAGCATTGAGTGACAGCTTCCCACTGGTATAAACTTAGTATTTTAGAAAATGAGAGGGGCGCCTGGGTGCCTCAGTCGGTTAAGTGTCCAACTTCGGCTCAGGTCATGATCTCATGGTTCGTGCATTCAAGCCCTGCATCAGGCTCTGTGCTGAATGCTTGCTCAGAGCCTGGATCCTGCCTAAGATTCTGTGTCACCTTCTCTTTCTGCCCCTCTACCACTCATGCTGTGTCTCACTCTGTCTCTCAAAAATAAATAAATGTTAAAAGAAAACTAGAAAATGAGAGTGTAGCTCTACAATTTAGGTCTGATTGAACCCCAACTTTTAGAAGGACAGGTGGAAAGCTAAAACAGCCAGTGATAACTAGGTCACAGGCCACCATTGCTCTGAAATGCCTGGTTTTGGCTGCCTGGACACGTAACAAGTGGATGAGATTTTCTTCATACTTCTTCTCAAAAAGACTGGCAACCTCTGTGCCTTTCCCTCGGCCTAGAGATATGGTTGTTAGATTAAATGAATGAATATATGGAAAGCATGTTGTAGAGCAGTGTCTTGGTCCTAATACATGCTATGAGTGTTTGCTGTTATTCTTCTTTGTATTATATAAATATACATATTTTGCAAGACCTCTTTTTTTTTTTCACTTGAACATAAGGCTTTGTAAAGCAGACTTCTATGAAGTCTTATATTTGTGATTCACTTAGTAAGCTGACAAAATGGCACCCCTGCAAACACATTCCAAAATGGTCCTTAATCCTGTCCATACATC